GAGCGACAATCTTCTACCGACCCTTTCCAACGATGACTGATGGCAATATGGTCTATTTGAGTCCATCGTTGGTTTGGTGAAGGGGGTCGCCATGTTAGACGATGTCTCTTCTTATGCTTAAAATTTTTGTTAAAAATACACGATTGTCTGAGCACAGTTGCAGCAGACCACCACCATTACCTGTTCGTTGTGCCGGAATACTAAAATACCCACCTAAATGCCTTTCTGTTTGGTTTAAACTACCTATCTGGGCATTAAAGTCACCTGCTACGAGTACTATGTCTGAACGTTTAGCTTTCTGAAGAAGTTCAGATAGCTTTCTGCAAAATTCATTTTTCACTTCATCCGAGTTGCAGTCGGTGGGAGCATGGGCAGAAACGACGAAAAGGCAACGACGTGTGTCCCTATCCTTCCGAGTTCTTACGGAGCCGTTTAGCTGAAAAGCACATAGACGACTGTTGACGGGGATCCACTCTAGCAGTGCTTGTTCCGCCCTCATGCTTAGTGCTATGCCTACACCTGCCAGTCCACGAGAACTTGCCATCGGGTCACCAGATACACGAAGGGTGTACCTCGTTGGCTCTCTGTTTTGCCGAGGTGAGGTCAAGTGAATGACCACACTGGAATCCTGTATGCGTGTTTCGGAGACACAGCACACGTCAATGGTAAGAGACTCTAGGGTTTTAGCCAAGGAAGCCTGCTGACCGATTTGACATAGGGTTCGTACGTTGAAGGCTCCAATGTGTAGTTTGGAGCGAGGTTTCAGTAGACCTGGGACAGTATTTTGCGCACTAGAATCGTTGGCTATGGTGACACTTGAGGTGGAAGCCGAGAGAGGAAATTTAAAGGTGAAAGTCGATGTAGGAGGAATAATAGGAATTGAAGAGGAAGGTTGATTATGAATACAGTGGTCTTAAGTGCTGTTAGAGGTATGAGGGCGGTTTTCACTTCCCGGTTGCCCACACCGTGGAAGAGTTGTTCTGGGGGTACCTGAAAAGGAATTTGGATTAAAGGTGGTCTTAGTGACCTGAGAGCGTGACCGCAGTGCCCAAGGGACAACTGTTTGAGGTCGGTCACACACGACCTTGTTATGGGTAATTTTTGTGTTAGCTCCGTACTTATTGAGACCTTACCGCCGGAGACGGATATCCGTGGGATAAGGCGAGGTGTGCATTTTTAGGGTCGACCTTTTCTAACCCCACCCCTCCTTGTGGGAAGGCAGCATCGCTGTCATGCTGTCTGAAGGAAACACCTTACAGCTGTCACACCTCTGTACAGTCAGCAGTACGACTTCGCCTTCGGACCTTGGGTTTGTTGCTTTTAGTCTTACCGCTCTTCAACCGACCTGTCTGAAATGGTAGGACCTTGAGTAACGGTTGTTCCAGCCAGTATAGCTCGGTTGCTTCATCACGATAGGCAAGCCCGACCACCATCCAGGGTGAGTACAGGATTGGAATCCTGCCAGTCTTGTAGAAGTACTTTGCACTTCGAAGATGCAAAGCACATACCATACCTACGGACACTGATTGCCAACTGATTAAGTGCGGATTGAATGCCTTGGGCATTATCGCACAGTAAGTCAATATCATCCGCATACTCAAGGTCGAGAAGTCTTTCTCCAGGCAACAGATCCACACCGCCATTACTTACATCCATCAGAACTGTTTCCAGAATGTCGTCGATGGCAAAGTTGAAGAGAAATGGTGAGATTGGGCAACCCTGCCTAACCCCACTGCTCGAATGTAACAATGGAGAGAGGTGGTTGGATGCCCTCACTCTGCCTGAGGTGTTTTTATACAGGGCTTTTAGGATGTTAATAAACTTCTCAGGCACACGCTTCTTCAATAGACAATCCCAGAGAACAGTCCTATCCAACGAATCGAAGGCAGCCCTGATGTCAAGAAACACTACGATTGTTGGCCTTTGATAAGTATGGCGATGTTCTAACATTTGGCGGAGGGTGAAGATATGATCAATACATCCTCAACCAGAACGGAACCCAGCCTGCTCCTCGCGAGTCAATCTTTCTCGGGTTTTGAACAGCCTACGAAGTATGACGGAAGCCAATAGCTTGGACGCAGTCGGAAGTAAACTTATCCCCTGATAGTTGTTACAGGAACGACGTGAACCCTTTGTAAAGATAGGGACAACTATCGACTCATTCCATGACCTTGGTACACTCTCTAGTTCCCAAACATTTGTAAACAACGTCGTCAATTCCTTAGTCAAAAAGTCACCACCATCTTTAAAAAGAGCCGGAGGTAAGTCATCTGGGCCAGGTGATTTGTAACGCTTCAAGAGTTGGAGTTCCTTGCGGACTTCCTCCTCATTTGGTGGATCAGTCGTCACCGGCCATGGAGGGCAGGACAGTCTGACCGATGTTGCCGGAGCAGCAGGCCAGTTGAACTGCCCTTCGAAAAATTCTGCCCATCGTCCAAGACGTCGATGGATGTTAGTGATTGGCATCCCATCATCCTCACAGATTGTTTCACTCACACCAGACTTCTTTCTGCCAGTGGCTCGGATGAGCTTGAAGAGCTTCTCATAATTACCAGATGCAGCTGTTGCTTCCAGCTCATTAGCACGCTTCGACCACCAGGCTTCTCGGTCCTTACGCAAGCTTTGCCCAATTTCCTTACATAATAACCTTCGTTTATGGTCAAACTCACGGTCACCCGGAGTAGACCGACGGGCTTCAATGAGTTGTAAGGAACCTGAAGAAACCAAGTGCTTAAAAGCGGGACGTTTCGCAAACCCACAACTGACTGTACCCGCCATTTTCATGGCGTCATGCAATCGCAACCAATGCTCATCTATACTTTTCGGTGGAGTGGCAGCTAGCCTAGAGGCTAGCTCGGTTCGATACTTACTAGCAACAGAATTTGCTAACATCAGTCCGTTGATGGCGTTCACTTCGTTGTCCACTGAAAAGTAAGGCAAGATTGGCGCAGACCAAGGCATGGTCAGAGTCCAGATAGGTACTCCAAAAGGAGCGGCAGTCTTGTACACAACCACGCCAGCGGTAGCTGATCGCGATGTGATCAATCTGAGTCCAGGCTTGAGATGCAGAGGGAGGACGCCAGGTGGCACATCGGCGATGACTGTGCCGAAAGTTAGTGCTAGCCAGAAACAGGTTGTGGTCTGTGCAAAGTTGCAGTAGACGGTCCCCGTTATCTGACCTGCGACCAACGAGTCCCCATCGGCCACCTAAACGACTCTCTTCTGTGCCTAGACGCCCGACCTGAGCATTCAAGTCTCCGGCTAGTACTACAATATCTGTCGAACGCACTTTCTGGAGAAGAACTGATAACTGGTGGTAAAACTCATCCTTGATTGCATCCGGGCTGCAATCTGTCGGGGCATAGGCGGAGATGACGAAAAGACATCGTTTCCCATACCGATTTCTTCCCACTTTGATGGAACTATCTAATCTAACAACACATAACCGACTGTTAATGGGGATCCAATCGACTAGTGCTGCCTCAGCTCTAGCGCTTAGTGCGACAGTGACGCCAGCAAGACCAGACGAAGATGCCACAGGGTCCCCGGATAAGCGCACGTAAAACAAGCTTTTCGAAGTGACAGATGTAGAGCGAACTTGTAGTACTTCACCAGAGTCTTGAATACGGGTCTCGGATAGACAACAAACATCAGTTTTAAGACTTTCCAAAGACTTAGTCAGCCCTATCTGTTGTCTGACCTGCATAAGTGTGCGAACGTTGAAGGCAGCCAGTTTGAATGGTGCACGTGGTTTCAGAAAAACTGCTTCAGTACTCATATTCGATGGTAACATACAATTTTCAACCGGACAGTGACTCGAGAACGTTTAGATACAGTCGAATTTCCACCAAAGACGAGCCGCTGTATAAGTATAAAAGAGGGTGAATAATGTGGAAAATAATAATAATAATAGTAATAATAATAATAATAATAATAATAATAATAATAATAATAATAATAATAATAATAATAATAATAATAATAATGACAATAATAGTAATAATAATAGTATTAATATTGACAATAATAGTAATGATAATTATTTGAATCGACTGATTGTTTCTCGGAGCGAGAAAAGTAGTTGCCATAGACATAGAGTTCATCGTTTGTGTGTGGGCTGTGATACTGCCCGGGTGCCCAAACCGAAGCAGGTGGTTATCTTAGGGGGCCACGCCCTGAGCCTTTGACCTAAAGGTCTAACCCACAAGGCAGTGGAGCATCGTAAGGAGATGCAATTCCATGGTAGCCGGTGATCAAAGATTGGTTCATACGCCATCTGTTCCCGCAGGATACTGGAGCTCATGTGCACCATTGGTTTGTGATCCGGTTAAAGCGCCGGACATTCGCTTTTCGTCCTCTCATTTTCGTCAACAACACCCCCGCCACGGGAAGGCAATGAGTAGGACTTCCCTGACAGAGGCTGTATACGCGCAGCCGTGTGAGAGTATTTCGAGAGGGAGAGTGGACTCACCCCACTCTCGGTCGTACCAGGGCAAGTTGTCACCAATATTCATGTGTTCAAATAAATAAATAAATAACTTTTAAAGTTGACTAAAGTCAAGTAGTTTGATGGTTAATTTACTAGACTTAACTAGCACCTCAGAGGTTCGTACCGCACTCAACCTGATTTGCTTCGGGCAACCGAATAGTCCTCATACAAACAGTATATGGGTCAAAGTCTACTACATAAGACTGTACTTGGTGAGTTGTAGTATGTTTAGGCGTCCATGAAAGTTGCCACTTGTCAACAAGATGTATCTAAAGTGTCAGGGGAGCTCATGCACCGTATGGAATTCTAACTTTTGTTACCCGATGTCACAATTACAAAAGATTACCATCACCGAGCTATTTAAATCGAGACTGATATCCATACCATAAATAAATTGATAGAGTTCAAGATAAATGGAGTAAGAGTATTAACTACCACTGAACCAGTAAAATTTGAGAAATCAAACATGTGAATAGATTGTAAACAATAAAACAATTTTGCAAGGAATTACCTGGATTTTTTTCAATCAGCTTTTCCAAGTCAACTAATTTCTGATGTTCACCTAAAAAGTCAGCAGGAGTTCGTTTACGTACAGTCTGTTGTTCTTGATGTTGTTGTTGTTCTATAGTTAAAGATGTTTGTGCATTTTGAAAAGTGGACTGCTGTTGAAACTGCTGCGGAAAGTGATCATTCATATTATTTGAAGTCCCATTCAAATCAAAATCAAAATGCCCATTGTTATTATTGAGATTGCTACCACTGTTGGTATGATGATGATGGTTAGAAATAACTGACTCGGTGTTTGTATTAGAAGTGGACGGTAATGTAGCACCTAAGGTTGATTCCAAATTCCACATTTCATCGGAATTACTTGTTGTAGAATGTGTTGGAATATTTGGTTGATCTATTGAAAATATAGATAGTTTAAAAATATTGCAACTCATTCACAAAATACAGGTTTTTATTTAGTTGACTTTAAACCCCATTGTTCGTGCAACGGTCAGGGATACTATCAGGCCCAGACCAATTAAACAACTTGAAGTATACTTCAAGGATCTAAAACTTTGAAACCTTTAACCACCAAACTGTTGCTTTCAACACAATATTAATTAACATAATATGATATTTTGCAGAATAGTAACGTTTTTCTGAACGATACTGACATTTATTTGAAAAGTGAAACAAAAGCTGAGTATTCGGTGATATAAATATGATACCTAGCTAAAAAAAATAATCTATCTGTTAGAATTCCTAACGATTTACATCATTACAAAAAGTCCTATAAATAAAGTATATTTGAAGTGCGTCCAAAAATTGGAAGATTTCAACCAAGTTCTTGCTTAAATACATCGGTAATCGAAGATACAATTTTATAGTAATGTCGGGTGTTCTTATGTAGATGGCTTAATTATGAACCTCTCGTTGTCGTTCAGGACAAAATCAACATCAGTGGTTACTTGGAGATCAGAAAGCTTTACCAAAAGCATCCAACCGAGCTACAAATGATCTCCGTGACCACACAGCCCAAGGGACAACTGCTTGAGGATGGTCGCGCACGGCCTTTTTGTGGGAGGTTTTTAATGTGTTAGCTCCGTTCTCCACAGGGCCTTAACGCCGGAGACGGAAATCCGTGAGGTATGACATTTTTAGGGTCGACCTTTTCTAACTCCTTCCTTCCTTGTGAGAAGGCAGCATCGCTGCAGATGCTGGTTGTCCGAGGGAAACACCTTACTGTTGTCACACCTCTACAGTCAGCAGTACGACTTCGCCCTCAGACCTTGAGTTGCTGCCTTTAGTCCTACCGTTCTTCAATCGACCTGCCTGGCATGGTAGAACCTACAGGAACATATGTTCCAGCCAATATAGCTCTGTCGGGTCATCACGATAGGCAAGCCCCACCACCGCATCAATGTAGAAGCTTGGTCAAGCCATTGTAAATACAAGGGGCTGCAAATCTGTGTTTTCGGTATTTTCTTGGACTGTACCTAGCGTATAACTGAAGAGTTTAAAATTGGAGCAAAGGTACATCTTAGACTTCAATATTAGCTAAAACGACACGAAAACGTCTTACCAGTAAGCAATATTGAAGCATACGGTCATGGTGCACATATGACCAAAAGACTGATCAAATAAATTTTTGAGTATCAAGAGCTGGATAATATTAAACGCTTACAAATATATTTTTCCATAAGTACTTATAAAATATAGTTCACAGTTATTTCGAAGTTATTATTCTTATATAGTGTCGTAAATTGGTTATAATATATGCAAGACCTGATATAACTGTGCGCCGAGCTAAGTGGCCACACCCCATATTAATACAGTCAAAGAGAAAATTAACAAGTTGGAAATCAAGGAAGTCAAAGAACAATCATATCAACGATGGTGAAAAGCCGAAGAAATAAGAAATGAAAGTATCCTCATTGTTGCTACTGCACTTCAAGCAACGTCATCTAAGGTTTCCAACAATTGAGTACGATTGTCGTACGCCTCTCAAAGAAGACGTCTGCACTAACTAAAGCAGGGAGATGTGGTAAATATGCCCCAAACACTTGTAGTTGATAAATGTTTGAGAACTCAAGGAACTATCTACCTTACCCAGTATCCTACGTTTAGCTTCCTTATTACCCACCTAGTAATATTACCAAGCCTAAGCAATACTTTCAGGATATACCAAATTCAGTCCCCTAACAAGCCAGTTAAAAAAATTATAAAACTATAGCGATTGAATTATGACACAACTAAGTAAAATACATAAACACCAAAAAAGAGCTGTACGACATAGTCCGATCATAATATATGTAGTCATAACTTTTACAAACAACTTTTTTAATGGTTGAGGTTTACGAACATTGGTAGAATGTTCGAAATATTTTTGATACTCTCCGCCCAAGAAAATTCCAATAAGACGGCATAATTCATAATCTAGTACACGAATCTATGTATTTTAAGTTTAAAACCCGATAAAATAGGACTCCGTTTAGAGGTTTGTCAAACTGATCACTAATTGTATAAGTAGTCGACAAAATGACAAACATCTGGATAACGGTTAATAAAACACTATTTCCTTTTGTACTCAGTAAAGTACAGTCGTTTATATGAAACGATCAGTACAGTAACTCCTGTTAGTTACCTCTTTTGGTTAAATTGCTATGCTATTTGGATGAAAAATTGTGTACATTTTGCGCTGGTATAGTAGAGAAATTAAACACGATTAGGCTGAATTCCAAGAGATCATAAAAAAGCAATTTTCTGCCAATAAGATGTATTTTCGGATGAATGTAAACAATTGTAAGTCAATCTTGTTTATCAAATAATAACATACTACTGTTAAAAACACAATACCAGCGGATAAAAAACCTATAACAAGGCATATTTGTCTGACTGAAAGTTCGGTCTTGTACATCAGCTAGTCGACAGTACATCAGGTCCGTTAACCGAAGATCATTAGTTCAAATAACAATCATAACCCATAGTTTTACTTTTCAACTTTATTCCTTTGTTTCTATACCTAAAGCTTAGTCAATCAACGAAGGCAAATCCAAACACTAAGATATGCAACCCACTGATACGTCAGGTGAAGCTGAGCCGTGATTGGTCAGTAGACAGAGGTACACATCGGAGCTATAACAAATATACAGATTACTTTGATATGAATATTAGAATGGTTTATTTCTACTTGGATTTAACTATGTTGACTTCTCTGTAATTTACGTCAATGAACTATTGTCTAACGCAATCTGACTTTTAATCGTAAGCCGGATATTGTGTAACTGTGTGCATACCGTGATTTTTCTAGCAATCTGTTACCTAGTATGTTGATAGAGTGCCAAGTCTAGTATTGGGTTTAATTATCTAGCATCAGCAACTATTGATACTGCTGGTCGTATTATCTCGTACCCAGTAATAAAGAGGTAGGATCACAAGTATGAATCCTAATTTTTTCATTACATCAGGTATAAATTCATTTAGTCAGCCTTAAGAAACATCAAATATATGATGTTTATTAATATTAAGTGGTGGTGGAAGTTTCCAGCCTGTAAACTAAATAGTTGGGAGTTGAGTGTTTCGATTATTAAATCATGACACTATCAAATAATTTGTATGTATATGGAACGAGTTATATATGTCATTTAATCAAACAAGAAATTTTAAATAAAAGTATACAGTAAAAATCAGTTACTTTTCGGGCTCCAAGGATCATCAATAGGGATAAGTGGAAAAGTTGACTGTGGTATATTGGTATTATTAAATGATGTGGATGGAGAAGGTGATGATGTATTATTATTTAACGAACTGCTCGGAACTGCTAAAGGAGCAGACCATGGATCCGGTAAATGAGCTGGTGCAACTGATAAAGAAGTATCAACTAAATTGAATAATCCACCACTAGGAGCACAACTTGGTGGCTCAAAGGCACTACTAGATCCAGAAGGAATATTGGAAACTGAATGTTTACCTGACTTATCCTTCTATATTAAATAGTGAGAAAATGATAACATAATTAAACAGTATTAATCCTTTAATTCAAAGTTTTAAAGGAATATAATCAACTTGATGATAAATTGGATTACAAACATGACTTCAGTCAAATAATTTATGAGACAAATTTATCAGATACAAGGAAACCTGTGTATCCAAATAAAGTCAAGAATTACTATTAATTATATAAAGCTTAAAAATCCCAAGTTTATCCCCAAAGGATTTCAGTCAGTTTCATCGAAATAGATTCTGGCACAGATGTACCTAATCAAAGATGTCAAAACATATTAGGACGACGAAATCAAATTAATAAAATGAATAATAAATGAGTTGACATAATGTGGTAGCAATGATAATAAAAACGACTGAACATTGATAATATGGTTCGAAAAGACAGAGTAGTAAGGTGTGTACGAAGGAATAGTGGAATTCAAGATCGAAACGAAGATAAAGAGTGAATACATCTGTGTTATTGTTCAAAATCCTCGACTATGTCACTCGAAAATTTTATAAAAGAATGTAAATAAGTTTTAAAAGATCATTTTAATATAGTTTTCTTCTTCCTGACTATCTCAATTATTAGTTAAATAAAAACTATTCACATAAACAATAAAGAAATTTATCTCTTAAAGTGAAACCACCAATATGATAAAATTTTTGAACAAAAAACAATAAAGAAATAACAGGAAACACTCTTAAGTTTATGTCAAATAGATATGATTCATGAATTCAAGTGGGTGTTTATTATTTATTTAAACACACAAAAATTGGTACAAGGAAGCACCAAATATATATAAGCCACACTTCGTCATTCGAGGCAGGTGATTTTCTTAGGTGGCCAATTACCGAGCCTCTGACCTAGAGATATAATCCACAAAGCAAGGGAGCAACGTTAGGAGATGCAGTTCCGTGGTAGCTGGTGACCAACAACAGGTTTATACGCCATTTGTTTTCTCAGGATCCTGGAGCTCACGTGCACCATTGGTTTGGAATCAGGGTTTTCCCTAAGTGGATCCTCCATATCCACCAACTCGGTTAAAGCGCCGGACATTCGCTTTTCGTCCCCTCGATTTCGTGAACAACACACCCCGCCGTGGAGTGTAACATAGTCTCTCAAAAAGTAGATGAAATTATATATATATATATATATATATATATATATTACTGATTGACTAACCAGTATTTCCTGGAAAAAATATGAAACTGTACACACAACGAAATACACATCTTGAATTATAACATTATTCTTATATTAATGTAGTATAACTGATTTCTTTTAAAGGATCTAATAAGATTTTTATCATAAAGAAACCATCATAAAATTGTACATAGCTTTCGATTATAGTTGATTAGTGAACATTTCAAAAAAAAGTTAGGTAGATATTACAATAGTTTCTTTTAAAGCTAAATATAATCATTTCTAGAAATCAGAATCTATCTATTCAGTTTATTCTAAGCAAGTACAAATAAAGTCTTAACAACCAACTGAAAATCATGAAACCAGATATATGTCTCATACTACTTCGAAGATTTTACAGTTAAACAAAATATTATCAGATACGAGAAACTGAATTGGATTTACTTTAAAACTCCGTTTACTTTTGTGTATAAATTCTTTGTTCACCAGACTATATACGAGTTTATTACAACAATTTAGAATTATCATCCAGTCATATCGACGACAACTCTTAACATTGTACAAGTACAGAAGTCACTAGTGAGCTAATTCACTAACTAGATACATACATATTTTCAGTAACTATTAAGAACAGTAATACTTAGAGTATTAAGGAACGAGGTGAAAAGTGAACGAGATTGTTGATCAGGAAAAATGTCGAACATTTTAATTTTGATCTCAATGTGTACAAGAGTAAATTGTAAAAAAGTTCTGATGAACACATTTTGATGGTTCGAAAGCCGTCCATCAGTCATAACTGATGATCATATCTTCACCCTCCGCAAATGTTAAAACACTGCCATAATTATCACAGGCCAACAATCGTAGTGTTTCTTGACATCAGGGCTGCCTTGGATTCGTTGGGTAGGACTGTTCTCTGGGATTGTCTATTGAAGAAGGGTGTGCCTGAGAAGTTTATTAACATCCTAAAAGCCCTGTATAAAAACACCTCAGGCAGAGTGAGGGCATACAACCACCTCTCTCCATTGTTCCATTCGAGTAGTGGGGTTAGGCAGGGTTGCCCAATCTCACCATTCCTCCTCAACTTTGCCATCGATGACATTTTGGAAACAGCTCTGATGAATGTAAGTAATGGTGGTGTGGATCTGTTGCCTGGAGAAAGACTTCTCGACCTTGAGAATGCGGACGATATTGTCTTACTGTGCGGTAATGCCCAAGGCATGCAATTCGCAATTAATCAGTTGGCAATCAGTGTCCGTAATTATGGTATGTGCTTTGCACCTTCGAAGTGCAAAGTACTTCTACAAGACTGGCAGGATTCCAATCCTGTACTCACCCTGGATGGTGAGCAGATAGAAGTAGTCGAGAAGTTCGTGTATCTAGGTAGCTGCATAAGTGCTGGTAGGGGTGTGAGAGATGAGATCAATGCACGAATAGTGAAAGCCAGAGCGTCTTATGCCAATCTGAGCCATCTTTGACGCCTTCGTGATGTTAGTCTGGCTGTAAAAGGTCGGATCTACAACGCGTCGGTGAGAGCAGTTTTGCTCTATGCTTGTGAAACCTAGACTCTCCGAGTTGAGGACGTTAGACGACTCTCTGTGTTCGATCATCGCTGTCTCCGAAGGATTGCTGACATTCAGTGGCAACACCATGTCAGTAATGCAGAGGCTCGGCATCGTGTGTTCGGGCACAGAGATGATAATTCACTTGGTGTTGCCATCTTGAAACACCGACTTCTGTGGCTTAGACATGTTCTCCGAATGTCGTCTCAGAGAATTCCACGTCGTGCATTATTTGCCGACTCTGGGACTGGTCGGAAGAAGCGGAGAGGTGGTCAGTGCATGACATGGTGTCGTGGTATGAAAGAAAGCTGCAAAGGACTGGCTTGTGTTGGTCCTTTACGACTCCCTGGTTGGGGTCTGAGAGATGGTGCTACACAGTGGCTAGAGACGTTATCAGATATGGCTCAGAATAGAAGCCAGTGGTGATCCTGCTGTAACCTTCTTTTACTTTCTTCATAAAAAGTGGTTGTATCTTCCTTAACTGAAAGATTTCTTCTGATTGTTCCCTTCTGTCCCCCTACTATTGCTATTATTATTATTACACTACCTTACACCAATCTCTTCGTTATTGTTTTTTTATTATTATTATTTCTGTTTTTAGGTTCCTCACTTTTTTTTCTTCTTAGATTCTCATTGTTTTGTGTGGCGCATATATATTTGGCGCACTCTTGTACCAATATTTATGTGTTCAAATAAATAAATAAATAAGTTGCAGAACTTGAAGAAAGTGTGCATCGATACCACATCAGCACACCAAGACGAAACTGAAGCGATGATTATTAAATGAAATGAAATAGTAATAGTATCATTGACAGTAAGAAAGAGTGGGCATGTAGGCCATGAAGAGAGAAAATAAAAGGAAGAGTAGGTAGAAGCCAACTTAAGTGTGATACACCCGGAAGTTGAGTTCAATTTTTTCGACCAATACTAACAACCAAAACGTCCCCTTCAATAAAGGACTACTTTTATGAGTTCTCTTGAAATTTCCAAAGTTAGGGAAGAGAGTAAACGAAACAAAAAACCACTTTTAATAGTTCAGTTCATGAGTCGATGTAAGCTAGACCCCCATTGAAAACCTGGAAGCACTGGACAGCCGTTTCGTCCTATTATGGAACTCCTCAGTAGTGCACATCCACTAATCGACTCATGAATTCAACTATCTAGAAATCACTACAATTTCCATAGACCCTCATTCTAATAATAAAAAAGTATTTCACTAAAATCAACTGAGAAAAAAAAGTATCCTCAATCACACCAATATGATATGTGTATACATTATTCTTATCCATTTCGCATGATGTCAACTTTACCAATGATACATTTTGCTGGTAATTAAGACCTAATCGACTTGACATCCGCTATTTTCAATTTATAACCGAGCGCTTTAACCGGATCCCAAACCGATGGTGCACATGGGCTCCAGTATTCTGCGGGAACAAATGGCGTATGAACCAATTTTTGGTCACCGGCTACCATGGGACTGCATCTCCTCATGATGTTCCACTGCCTTGTGGGTCAGACCTTTTGGTCAAAGGCTCGGGGCGTGGCCCCCTAAGAAAACCACCTGCTTCGGTCTGGGCACCCGGGCAATATCATAGCCCACACACAAATATAATGGTAATGAAAATGTGTGGCGTATACATATTTGGTGTCCTCTTCTACCAATATTCATGTGTTCAAATAAAATAAAATAAACACTAATATTCTGTTTAATGTTACACATTGTTGATAAATTTATAAATGTGAAGTTAGAAGAGGTTACAAGAAACAGTTGTTTGCCCGGATATTCTTTGCTTTCTTTGATATACGTAGAATTAAAAACAACAAAAAATAAGTAATTACCTGTTCTTCTCTACGACTCTGCTCTATTACCATTTGTACTTTGGCTTCTTCTTTAGCTTCTTCAGCTCGTCTACGCCGTTCTTCTCGATCATGTTCCTCTTTACTGATAGCCAGAGCAAGTTGAAGATGTAATTGTTCTTCTCCGGCAGACTGAGGTCTAACGGAATCTAATTCAGTTGCGGCATGAGAAACAGATTCTAAAAATTAAGATATATTATCCGAACTCAGTAAAATATTCAATCCCAAAAATAACAGTTTCCCAATGCCAGCATCACGACTTTATGCATAGACAGTATAAGTATACTGGATCAAGTGATATGAATTGCTTATAAGTTTACCTGAGACATTATAAATGACTTATGCTAGACTTCGAAAAATACTATAACAGATCAGAATTACATAAAAAAAACCGAAATGTTTACTTAGCCACAACGAATAACGCAACATACAAACATGAAGTAAGTTACTAAAACAAACTAAGCGATCTGGATCAGAAAACAATTAAGCATATATATGAGGTGAAGATGCTACTTATTAATCATATTTACATTCAACCAAAAAATGATGCAATGTTAACAGACAATTCAATTTAGTCAATACTTATTTGATAGGTTTTGACAAATTTTAACAAAAAGTTTTCATACTTTGTATTTTCGTTATATATAAGCGATCACTTTACATTTATACATATATACATTTATTATTATAGAATATCTATGTGAAAAGTTACAGCTTAGATAAGTGATGATAGGTCATCTTAGTTAAATGATTAAATTTTAGCTTCATTGGCAATTTTTATCTGAAAGCAAGTGGGTAAATTATAAATGAACGTTTTAAGCTACTAATCAGTGAGGTTGACATTTTTATACTCCTCGGTTTGATTTATATTGTTACGTTGCCTGAATAAATTAATTACAAAAGTTATCCTCCACTTAGGCAAATAACTATGAATCATTCAACTGTGTTTCGCTTTAATTTTACGTAGGTTTAATATGTATATAAAGAAATGCATTCTCGTTAAATGATAAATTTCCACAGTCACAGACTAAGTGATGTCTTATGGCCATTTCTTCAAAATACTGAGACAACTGTATTTAATGTCGACTGACGTACTGTTAAGAAGAAATCATTTTTTATCATGGTAATCCGTTTAGTTACTCTACTACTGTAAATAGAAGTAATCTTTTTAGAATTATCCTGGAACTCCCAATTTAGTTCGCTCTGCCGAACCTATTAATAATTGCTTATTTTAAAAGCGCTTGTTACATCTGTGCTCAGCTGCATTTCCATAAAATGTTTTCCTTAGTTAGCCTTTCACTATATGATTGTTTCACTTTATGCTCGTAAACTGACAGGGTGGATCCATGTTGATGTAGACAATGATTGCAAATCAATTCGAACATTAATGCTTCTAAAATGTGTTTTTCATTCTTAGGCTTTAATTCATTGGTGATTTTGAAATTTCCTCAATCGAATTGTCTCCAGTTGTCGAAGTTCATTAACATAGGCGAAGATAGTTATATAACATTAGCAGTAGGTGCTGATGTTGCCCACAACCATACTTAATTTTATAATCTATTTATACTAATTCGTAAATTTTATTGGAACACTTGCGTCCCAATAGGATATAAATTTGTCGGCAAAATTTGAAAAAAACATAAATACACTTACTTGAAGGCAAGGTTCCTTTTTCAAAATAGTTGGAGCCAGAATATCCAATAGGATAGCTACTACGACCAGATGGTGGGACACCATATTTAACCGGTGAATCTCCAGCAGAAGCCGTAGTTCCCAAACCCCCATGCATCAAACGGTCACGTGCTAGTAGAGCCTTTGTACGTTCTTCGTGCAAACGTTCCTCATCTCTAAGAAGCGTACTCAAATGACGAGCTTTCTCACGGACATTCTTACCACGATCTTTCCCATCTTCAACACACTCAAAGTCCTGTTTGTCGAAGGAAAAAGAATAGAACGCTAGCTTCGAGAGAACTATATTCATGGGACCCAGTTATGAGGACTCAATAATGATTCTATAAGTCATCTAACTGAAACACCTATTAATAAACTAAATCATATTAGTGTCTGTCAGCAAATATAAGAAAGCACTTTTTATCAAATTGATTAAGAACTAGTAAATTAAGTCTACGGTGATGTAAATTATTGTTATAACCCATCAACATGCAACTAATTTCACTTTAATCGCCTCTCAAATATACCATACTCTCAAACAGTCATTGACAATAAGTATAAATACTCCGATAATTATATGCAGCCATAAAACTAGAAGTAGGAGCACCGTTGAGAATTGAGATACTGTGAAACCAAATACACATGAAATAAGATGTCCAAGTATAGATATAAACGAAATTATACTTAGAAAATAGTACTAAATAACACTTCATGAGGTCACTGACTGTTAGACTGAACCGAGTTGTCATATGTAGTTTACTTAGTTGGGGTTTGAGAGGTTATCTCAACCAATGAATATAGACACTAGGTGACATTGTTTGAAATCGGTCGTAGTGGCGCACTCGCATTCAAGTTTTTATTTTCCTTTAGATCTTAAGTTTTACAACTACCTTATACCTCTTAATTGGATCATTAACCCTACTTTTCGAATCAGATCATCTATACGTAGTCTTCATTAATACCAATTACACCACACAATACTACTAGTTTGGTATTCTTCTTGATAATTTCATCTCGATGTGATGTGATTAGACAACTTGGACGTTGTTTATGGTCGATTGACTAGATAGCATAGGAACAACAGTTTCCAATGTCAATCGAACCTGTGGCTAGACGATTAAAAGTTAGACGTTTGGGTGCTGTTAGAGGTATGAGGGCGGTTATCACTTCCCAGTTACCCACACCGTGGAAGCGTTCTTCCAGAAATACCTGGAAAGAAAATTGGGTTAGGGGAGACTTTTGTGACCGGAGAGCGTGACCGCAGCGCCCAAGGGACAACTGCTTGAGGTCGGTCACATTATGAAGATTAAGGGGTATAGTCAGAAACAAATCAAATAATAAAAGTGAATGAGACTAGTATATGATGGTGCAATCCAGCCGGAAACACAAGCAAAAAAAGTTCCTTCAATCTTTTATCAAGAATTCAAAAGCAAACTACCACAATGATCTCCATTGGTTTTTATTTTGATCCATGTCTCACAATGTTTCAAACCACTGAGCTGCACCAATCCCAACACCCTAACCAGGGAGTCGTGATGGACTGACAGATGCCAGTCCTGTACGGCTTCTCATACCACAGCACCATATCGTAAAATGACCAACTCTTCGCTCTTTCTACATCATCTCATAGTTGGCAATTGTTGAACAATGAGGAATTTCCTGGGGTTACATTTGTAACACAAGTCCAAGCCACCAAAGCTGGTGTTTTAAGATGCTGGCAACAACTGAGCCATCAGTACTATTTGCAAACACATATAGTCTAAATTCAGTACAACTAACACATGTTGCTACTGAGTTCTGTGTTTGCTCAGCTTAGAAAGGCCAGACTTCGTAAGAGTAGGGAAGGATTGGTCTCGCTGACTTGCAACTGATCAATGGTGCACATGGGATCCAGTATCCTGCGGGAACGAATGGCGTATGAACCAATCGTTGGTCACCGGCTACCATGGGACTGCATCTCCTTACGATGCTCCACTGCCTTGTGGGTTAGACCTTTAGGTCAAAGGCTCGGGGAGTGGCCCCCTAAGATAACCACCTGCTTCGGTTTGGGCACCCGGGCAGTATCACAGCCCACACACAAATGATGAACTCTTTATGTCTATGGAAATTACTTTTGTCGCTTTGAAAAACAATCAATTGATTCAAATTATGATCACTACAATTATTGTCATTATTAATACTAATATTATTATTACTACTATTATTGTCATTATTGTTATTATCATCATTATTATTATTATTTTCCACATTATTCACCTTCTTTTATACTTATACAGCGGCTCGTCTTTGGTGGAATTCCGACTGTATCTAAACGTTCTCGAGTCACTGTCCGGTTGAAAATTGTATGTTACCACCGAATACGAGGACTGAAGCAGATTTTCTGAAACCACGTGCATCATTCAAACTGGCTGCCTTCAACGTTCGCACATTTATGCAGGTCGGACAACAGATAGGGCTGGCTATGTCTTTGGAAAGTCTTAATATCGACGTGTGTTGTCTATCCGAGACCCGTATTCAAGACTCTGGCGAAGTACTACAAATTCGATCTCCATCTGTCGCTTCGAAAAGCTTGTTTTACGTGCGCTTATCCGGGGACCCTGTGGCATCTTCGTCTGGTCTTGCTGGCGTCACTGTCGCACTAAGCGCTAGAGCTGAGGCAGCACTAGTCGATTGGATCCCCATTAACAGTCGGTTATGTGTTGTTAGATTAGAAAGTTCCATCAAAGTGAGAAGAAATCGGCGTGAGAAAAGATGTCTTTTCGTCATCTCCGCCTATGCCCCGACAGATTGCAGCCCGGATGCAATCAAGGATGAGTTTTACCACCAGTTATCAGTTCTTCTCCAGAAAGTGCGTTCGACAGATATTGTAGTACTAGCCGGAGACTTGAATGCTCAGGTCGGGCGTCTAGGCACAGAAGAGAGTCGTTTAGGTGGCCGATGGGGACTCGTTGGTCGCAGGTCAGATAACGGGGACCGTCTACTGCAACTTTGCACAGACCACAACCTGTTTCTGGCTAGCACTAACTTTCGGCACAGTCATCGCCGATGTGCCACCTGGCGTCCTCCCTCTGCATCTCAAGCCTGGACTCAGATTGATCACATCGCGATCAGCTACCGCTGGCGTGGTTGTGTACAAGACTGCCGCTCCTTTTGGAGTACCTATCTGGACTCTGACCATGCCTTGGTCTGCGCCAATCTTGCCTTACTTTTCAGTGGACAACGAAGTGAACGCCATCAACGGACTGATGTTAGCAAATTCTGTTGCTAGTAAGTATCGAACCGAGCTAGCCTCTAGGCTAGCTGCCACTCCACCGAAAAGTATAGATGAGCATTGGTTGCGATTGCATGACGCCATGAAAATGGCGGGTACAGTCAGTTGTGGGTTTGCGAAACGTCCCGCTTTTAAGCACTTGGTTTCTTCAGGTTCCTTACAACTCATTGAAGCCCGTCGGTCTACTCCGGGTGACCGTGAGTTTGACCATAAACGAAGGTTATTATGTAAGGAAATTGGGCAAAGCTTGCGTAAGGACCGAGAAGCCTGGTGGTCGAAGCGTGCTAATGAGCTGGAAGCAACAGCTGCATCTGGTAATTATGAGAAGCTCTTCCAACTCATCCGAGCCACTGGCAGCAAGAAGTCTGGTGTGAGTGAAACAATCTGCGAGGATGATGGGATGCCAATCACTAACATCCATCGACGTCTTGGACGATGGGCAGAATTTTTCGAAGGGCAGTTCAACTGGCCTGCTGCTCCGGCAACATCGGTCAGACTGTCCTGCCCTCCATGGCCGGTGACGACTGATCCACCAAATGAGGAGGAAGTCCGCAAGGAACTCCAACTCTTGAAGCGTTACAAATCACCTGGCCCAGATGACTTACCTCCGGCTCTTTTTAAAGATGGTGGTGACTTTTTGACTAAGGAATTGACGACGTTGTTTACAAATGTTTGGGAACTAGAGAGTGTACCAACGTCATGGAATGAGTCGATAGTTGTCCCTATCTTTAAAAAGGGTTCACGTCGTTCTTGTAACAACTATCAGGGGATAAGTTTACTTCCGATTGCGTCCAAGCTATTGGCTTCCGTCATACTTCGTAGGTTGTTCAAAACCCGAGAAAGATTGACTCGCGAGGAGCAGGCTGGGTTTCGTTCTGGTTGAGGATGTATTGATCATATCTTCACCCTCCGCCAAATGTTAGAACACCGCCATACTTTTCAAAGGCCAACAATCGTAGTGTTTCTTGACATCAGGGCTGCCTTCGATTCGTTGGACAGAACTGTTCTCTGGGATTGTCTATTGAAGAAGGGTGTGCCTGAGAAGTTTATTAACATCCTAAAAGCCCTGTATAAAAACACCTCAGGCAGAGTGAGGGCATCCAACCACCTCTCTCCATTGTTACATTCGAGCAGTGGGGTTAGGCAGGGTTGCCCAATCTCACCATTTCTCTTCAACTTTGCCATCGATGACATTCTGGAAACAGCTCTGATGAATGTAAGTAATGGTGGTGTGGATCTGTTGCCTGGAGAAAGACTTCTCGACCTTGAGTATGCGGACGATATTGTCTTACTGTGCGATAATGCCCAAGGCATGCAATCCGCACTTAATCAGTTGGCAATCAATGTCCGTAGGTATGGTATGTGCTTTGCACCTTCGAAGTGCAAAGTACTTCTACAAGACTGGCAGGATTCCAATCCTGTACTCACCCTGGATGGTGAGCAGATAGTAGTCGAGAAGTTCGTGTATCTGGGTAGCTGCATAAGTGCTGGTGGGGGTGTGAGTGATGAGATCAATGCACGTATAGTGAAAGCCAGAGCGGCTTATGCCAATCTGGGCCATCTCTGGCGCCTTCGTAATGTTAGTCTGGACGTAAAAGGTCGGATCTACAACGCGTCGGTGAGAGCAGTTTTGCTCTATGCTTGTGAAACCTGGCCTCTCCGAGTTGAGGACGTTAGACGACTCTCTGTGTTCGATCATCGCTGTCTCCGAAGGATTGCTGACATCCAGTGGCAACACCATGTCAGTAATGCAGAGGTTCGGCATCGTGTGTTCGGGCACAGAGATGATAACTCAATTGGTGTCACCATCTTGAAACACCGACTTCGGTGGCTTGGACATGTTCTCCGAATGTCGTCTCAGAGAATTCCACGTCGTGCATCATTTGCCGACTCTGGGACTGGTTGGAAGAAGCGGAGAGGTGGTCAGTATATGACATGGTGTCGTGGTATGAAAGAAAGCTGCAATGGGCAGGCTTGTGTTGGTCCTTGACGACTCCCTGGCTGGGGTCTGAGAGATGGTGCTACACAGTGGCTAGAGACGTTATCAGATATGGCTCAGAATAGAAGCCAGTGGTGATCCTGCTGTAACCTTCTTTTACTTTCTTCATAAAAAGTGGTTGTGTCTCCTTTACCTGAAAGATTTCTTCTGATTGTACCTCTTCGTCATTACTCTCTTTTTCTTTTGCGTTCCTTAGTTTTTTTTCTTTCTACTTCTCTTCGAATTCCCATTGTTTTGTGTGGCGCATATATATTGGCGCTCTCTTGTACCAATATTTATGTGTTCAAATAAATAAATAAATAAATAAATAAAATCCAGACTAGCATCACAACGACGCTGAAGATGGGTCACATTGACGTAAACTTCCTTGTTTTTCATCAATTAATCAACCAAAAACACACACAACTAGCCAGATACACGGACTGTTCTACTATCTCTAATCGTTCATCATAAACAATGAGTGCAGACAGGTTTCTCCCAGTCTTTCAGACGCACTCTACACTAAGAAGATGCAAAGTACATGTCACACTTACGGACACTAAATGCTGAATCATTAGGTGTGATTTCCATAGGTTGAAGCTTATCGGAATTAAAACGAGACAATACCTATACTCAATATCGGAAAGTTTTTCTTCAAGCAACAAATTTACACCACCGCGACCTACTTTCATTACAGCTATTTACAGAATGTCATAGATAGCAAAGTTGAAAAGGAATGGTGAGGCTGAACAATCCCCCATAACAGCACTGCTGGAATTCGATAGTGAGTAGAGCTGGTCGTAAGCTTTTACTCTACCTGAGGTGTTCGTATCAGTTGTCAGGCCCGACCATAGCTGCTACCTTGACGCGGTGGTGGGGCTTGCATATCGTGATGACCCGACAGAACTATATTGGCTGGAACATATGTTCCTGTAGGTTCTACCATGCCAAGCAGGTCGATTGAAGAACGGTAGGGCTAAAGGCAGCAACTCAAGGTCTGAGGGCGAAGTCGTACTGCTGACTGTAGAGGTGTGACAACAGTAAGGTGTTTCCCTCGGACAACCAGCATCTGCAGCGATGCTGCCTTCTCACAAGGAAGGAAGGGGTTAGAAAAGGTCGACCCTAAAAATGTCATACCTCACGGATTTCCGTCTCCGGCGTTAAGGCCCTGTGGAGAACGGAGCTAACACATTAAAAACCTCCCACAAAAAGGCCGTGCGCGACCATCCTCAAGCAGTTGTCCCTTGGGCTCTGTGGTCACGCTCCCCGATCGTTAAGACTAACACTAATCCGACTTCCTTTTCAGGTTCCTCAAGAAATACCCTTCCACGGTGTGGGCAGCCGGGAAGTGATATCAGCCCTCATACCCGTAGCAGCACACGAGACCAAGTCGGTCACATTCAAATCCTTTCTACACCTCCTGACAACCCTCATATCTCCACGACTAACCCTTCTCACGTCCCTTTATCACCTCGCACCGCTAGGGAAGACGAAAAGCTAGGCACTCTGATGTAGTAATAGTGACTGGTGACTTTAATGCTCAAGTAGGCAAACTAAGCGGAAGAGAAAGACACCTGGGTGGATCTTATGGTATCGCGGCTCAAATAACAGATAATGGCGACCGTCTGTTGCATCTATGCTCAGATAACCGCCTTTTTCTTGCAAACACTAACTTTAGGAATAAGGGAAAACTTCTTTTGACATGGCGACCCTAGAATTCGTCCCAACGTTGGACCCAAATAGATCACATCGCTATCAGCCACCGATGGAGTGGCTCGATAGAAGACTGCCGCTCATTCTGGAGCACATGCTTAAATTCAGATCATGTTCTAGTGCGAGCGCGTATTTGTCTACGTCTTAATGGACGTAGGAACTATGATGCAAGGAAACCCCTTAAGGTCATACTTAATGATAGTCAAGCTAAGAGTATATTTGAGGAACACCTAGAAAACGTTAGGCAGCCATGTAAGCGATGCCTACCCCGAGGCAGCGTGGAATGATATCTCGCGGATCCCAACTAGGTGGTCTACACCTACCAACATGGCTCAATCCACTTGTCAGTGACTTCATGGATTTGTGCTATGTTTTGGTCTGGCCGCCCCTAGCTTTCTTCCAACCTACTCCTACACCAGAAAACATCGCACGTCGGGGCAGTCGGTGGTTGGGCACGCGTGACGCATGCCCCAGTCATCGCAACTGATGAAGTTTCACTACTTTATCACTTGATTTGCCTGGTTGGGATCCGCTAGATGACAACAACCGATGGTTAGAGACCTTGAATGACATGGCTCAAAATCGTTTGTAATAGCGCAGGTGCATCTTTGTGGATGCATTCTTCGTGTCCTTTATTTTCTTTCCAAATTTATTTCACTGGATTATACTCCTTGAATCACATCTTCCAATCCTAATATTTCCGATTACTGCTAATACTCTTACTATCTCTACCACTACGGGATTAGAATCGATAACTGCATCTCTGTGCTAATGTGGTGTGGCAACTCGAACTGATGTACGTACGTACGAAGTTCCACGTTGTTACTGACTGACTGATCAGTTGTCAGAAAATCGGTAAACCTCTTGGGCACAAGAACCACTCTGCTCCTCACAATTCAGTTTTCAAGCGTTTTTGACAACCTACGAAGCACAATGGAGGTCAATAGTTTAGGTAATTCCATCTGGGCCCCGCTTGGACTAATGGTGGTCCCAAGATTTGTTAAAGGAGGGTCAGGCGTAAGGTTAGTAACCCTACCTCATAAACAAAATCCAAAACAAGCATAAGCTAACTAAACTTTACTCTGGTAGTTGAAGGGCCTTCATAAATATTTATGACACGTAATGAAAACCGGGTCCTCAGAAGCCACGAGGTCAATGACCTATTTGGCGGCCACAACAATTAATATTTGTACACGGGATGTCCAGACAATGTGGGAGACTAGGTGAGTCATTCAAGCAGCTACAGAAATGAAAAGATACAACTCGGAGACACACTTTATAGAAAACTGGATAAAAAAGGATTGGTTTCAGGAGAGTCGTTATTGTATTCCAGTCACGGAGAAGGAAATGCATCATACAAAAGTTTTACTGATACTGCCCAAAGAAGAGCGGAACGCGCTAATAAGATAGGGAACTTATGGCTCTATGGTCGAGACATCCTTTAAAACAAAGAAGGAAAATAAAGCAATTAATTTTATCCAATGATACACACCTGTCAATGATGGGAGTGAGGACGATAAAGACCGAATTCATGAGATTGCAGTCTGTCCTACAGAAGTACTAACAACAGGACCTAACCACTCTGGTAGGAGAACTAAATCCTTAAGTCGGAATAGACAATTCCGGACATGAAGGCATCATGTGACGTGGATGGGGAAATAAAGGACAAAAACAGTGAGAAACTGGTAGATGCATGTGCTTCCAGCAACATAGAAACATTTTCGCTCACAAACGCATCCACAAAGTTATATAGGCTTCATTGGGCCAAACCAGAAACCCAGATCGTTCACATACGCATGCATAAAATATTCAGAAGGTTCACCGAATATGCGAAAAAAGGTGTTGATGAGGCTTCAGGTGATGACCAAGCTAAGACTGAAGTATCGGATGGTTGCAAAATCAGTACTATAAAATTTTAATACCTGGAAACTACAGAAGAACACCCCCTCAAAAAAGGATATAAAAAACCATACGATACAACCAAAAAGCTCACATAAAATATAAGATTCCAAGGTGTTATTATCTCTCCTATAACGACCCAGCCACATTTATTGTTTAGTATTCTTAAAACACTTTACATCACTCGACAAGTCCCCAAACCAGAAAACGGTTTGACAGAACGTAATTATATTCGAAATAAACAAGGTTGAATAGGAGTAATAATCGCAGTAAGAAAAATATTAATATACTCATAATTTTACATGAGAGGATTCAAGAGTCTTCCCCAAGTATCCACTAGCACTGATTGGCTAAGAAATAGCCAATTAGCATGTCTCAGCACAATCCTGAAAAGAACATGTTTTAATCTGATCCATATCCCGACAACATAAAGTCAGTCAGTCAGCTACAACGTAGGACTAGACACATATATGCATCGGTCCAAGTTGCCATACCTCATTAACACAACAAGATGAACGCCGGATTCATAAAAGTAGTTAATCCAGTGATGGTAATATATAAAAGAAAGATTGTGTATAAGGATACAGTACAGGAAGAAAAAATTAGTTCGTATAAAGAAAGATATGAAGCGATTTTAGTCTCACAGTTTAAGGGAAGACAGTGTATACACCGACGCCATCGTGATCAATTCTCAGCCATGTCACCAAGAGTCTCCAACCATTGGTTACGATAGTCACGCGGACTCCAACCAAGTAGTCTGCATCTACCAACATGACTCAGACTAGAAGTTAGTGACTTCAAGCACTGGTGCCACGTTTAGGTTTGGCCGCCCCTAACTTTCTTCCAAGCATCTCCAACACCGGTTAGCATTGCACGTCGTAGTAATCGGTGTTCAGGCATACGTAACACATGAACTCAATGCAGTTCTAATGGGTCCTTTTAGTATGGATTTTTTGCGTCCAGTGAGGCGCAAGCAGATGCATGCCCGTATTAGGGCATGGTCGGAGTCCAAGCAGGTACTCCAGAATGAGCGACAATCTTCGACCGACCCTCTCCAACGATGATTGATGGCAATATGGTCTATTTGAGTCCATTGTTGGTTTGGTGTAGGGGGTCGCCATATTAGACGATTTCTCTCCTTATGCTTAAAATTTGTGTTTGTTAAAAATAAACGATTGTCTGAGCACAGTTGCAGCAGACGACCACCATTACCTGTTCAGGCTAATCAGGCAAATCAAGGATGGCAAGACCAAACAGCATATTAACTGAAGTACTAAATTCATATGTAGAGGTATTTGCAAAGATATGTTCTTTTCAAAAGGATATGGAAAAACAAGTGCCAACAAACTGTGAAAAAAAACCTAATCAATATACCAAAGAAAGATCATATTGGGTGGGAACTACATAAAGATTACACTAGTGTTAGTACCAGGCAGTTTTCAAGTGTTTCAGGACCTAATGAAAGAGACGAGAGAAATTGGTAACAAAGAATAATATATTTATATAGTATTACCATACGTTTTACTTTACTATAAGAGTAATTAAGATAGTACATGTATTTTAATGCTCTCATTATCCTGATCATGATTAATGTTCTATAACACATCAGCACAATGAAATGAATTTAAAAAGTAAATGGCATTATCAACAATGGTGAAAACGACTAAGGAGTAGGAACATGCTTCGAAAGAATGGATGTTGTGAAGGTATGTGTGGAGTAGTGAAACCTACGATTAAGGAGGTAAAATGTGAGTGTTTGCGCTACTATGATCAATTTCAGGTCAAGTCGACCAATGTCTCCGACTGCTAATCTTAATTATCTAGTAGACTCTAGGTAGTCTGTGTTTGCCAACACGACCTAACTCAACAGTCAATGACTTCATAGACTGATATTGAATCCAAAGACGCCTCTAGGTTTTCCTAAATCATTCATGCTTCTAAATAAACAGTGGTTGGAAAAAAGTAAAACATGACACATCCAGTTCAGTCAATGGAGATCCAAGGTCCAATCAGTTAACTCACCATTTCTGTCTGTCATAGATTTATGTGAAGTTCCTTAACAAATAGATGAGGGCTTAGTCCAGTACAACATAATTGCATCCACCAATCACAAACATATATTTACTTATATCCATAGACAATTTATATTTGCCGTCATCCACAGATACGTGTGTTATTCAAGCAAGCTAACATATGATCTGACATCTCGAAATATGACGACAACCGGTTTGACAGTAGCGAAGTGATTTCTTAGATCTCTCAGACGAATATTCAGAAGTGCTAGACTATCCTAAAACTTTTACAATCAGGCGAATGAACCATAATAAATGGACGGACCAATCTGATTCGAGACAGAGACATTTGGGGTCTTGCACGAAAATTGCTCATCCATAGGGTTAAATGGCATTTCGAGATTACAGCTAGTGTCACATTAACTTTGATACATAAACCCATAACCTTATTATAACTCCTAGATCCGATTCTTCATACCACTTTGTGACCCCACTTTTACACTTGTAAATGGTTAGTGTCTCACATCCACTTTAGCATCGCTTAAAGGTAGCCCATAAATTATAATCTCGCTCATTTTAGTAGTAACATAAGGTGAGGTAGATAGTTGAAAACAATCAGTGGCTCACGTAAAGACGTCATATTGTTTAAAACTACGTAAACAACGATAGGTGTCTCTAATTAGTTAATGAGATGAAACTCGGTCCACATAAAATCATTTGGATATTTTGGTTCCTATATTAATCTCCTAGGTTTTACGTTTCGAATGAATCGAGAAGTTAATCAGAAGTAGGACTTGGAAACGAGGCTGGTTACGTGAACTATGTAGAACTTACTCTCAATGTTTCTATTGAGTGGATATTTTCTCGGCACTGAGTAGCGACCTTATCACTACCAGTCTTTGACAAGTATTCCAAAAGAACAAGAGCCTTGTAAACATGTCGCCAGTTTTTACTCTTATCATTGAGCCTTCTCCAAATCATTTGCATTATTTCCGTGAATGCCATAACATTATGAGTCTTGTCAGCTATTTCGGCCATTAAAGTGCTGCTAGGACCCCATGGATCGTTCGATGTAGCTTCACGAACCTTTCTTTCAGCATCTGTATAATTGTGAACGACATTTTTTATATGTCTGTGGATGGGCATGTCCAAGTAAAGACAAAGGAACTTTAGGAACACAGTAGTAACACTAATATCAAGAGAAGCGCACCAACAGCTAGCCCGAGAATCCTTCCAATGTCCAATATCTTTGTCACGAACTTGCATGAACCAAATGATTCCTTTGCACCTGCATCTTGTCGTTTCAGTACAGTTCCAGTTGCTTGGTAATGTCCAAGAGATTGTTATCTGGCCAGTTATCCAGTCATATTATTAGTTTATTTTGGATCTGATTCAAATGGTTCAAATGGTTGTGGACGGAATAGGTTTCGCTTAATGGGCTTCTGTATCTAGTAGCAGTGGATCGTAGATGCCCCCAGACAAGAGTCCAGGTATATTAACGAAGAAGGGGGAAAAATATCAGTAAATCATAGTGAAATACTATCCTTGGTCCTTGAGAATATGTTGCGTTACCTCCGAAAGGACTCCTGAGAAGTGGCCTGAACTAGCTCAACTGGTGGAAAATTCCAGCAGTTGACCACTCTTAAGGAGTAGGTGTGCCTACAGTCTGTTCTAATTTGTCGCTTCTCCAGTTTCTGGGTGTTACTCCTATGGTTTGTGTTGGGACTAAGCCTAAATAGGTGTTTAGGGAGATGTCCAGAAGTGTTTAGGATGCTATAAGTCGTAAGTCATCTCTAAGACCCCTGTACTCCAATGGATAAAGGTTCAGTGATTGGGAGTGCGAGTCATATGACTTGAATTTGATTCCCCGAAATAATTTCGTGGCTCGCCGTTGGATGCGTCCCAGAGTGCCCTTATTATTATTATTCACAAACATATTATGGGTACATAAGTGTTGTGAAGAAACCATTTCGGGTTTCTTCAAAAAATGCGATAATACACAATTTTCAATAATGTCAGCATTATACTTGCCATTTAAAAAAAAATTGGAGCAATAATAGTAGGATATTAATAATAATAAATCGGGTCTGTGCAATTGAGAAGAATATTGAATTGAGTTTAAAGAAGGAAATGGAGAAAATTAGGGAATAGAAATAAAGGAGACGTGAAATACGCAAACAGTCTAATAGGCGTGTTTATGAACACAGAGCAAGAGTAAACGACTGTGTGTATCGTTAAATTAGTAACAAAAGTAATTAAGAAAAAATAACTTTTAATTGCAGTAAGATATGACGCTAGAATAAATGTTTGTGCAGTTATAGTTTGGAGTGATGCGATGAAAGTCTCAATTGAGTGAAAAGAATAATAAAATATCAATATGTGTGAGACATATATGCATAGTGAATATAAAACAGGTCTGAGAAGTTAATGTAAGTATAACACAAGTTATTGTCTTAATTACAAACTTCGTAATCCTAAGAATAATATTTATATAGAAGGGAAAAAGAGAGACAAGAGAAGTGGATACCTAGTGAAAAGGTTCATCCATGATAAGAATAATAATTGCGTAATGAATATCAACCTCAGAAGGAAACCAGCAATTGAAAAAATAAAATAAAAATCCTCTAAAGCACTCGGATGAATACATTTAGATTTATGTGATAGTATACAGAGTGAAACCGGATATTAGTATAAATATTTGTGCAATAATAATTAAGAATGATGCTATGAAAGTCAAAATTGATTTTAAAGGACAATCTGGAGTTAAATATGTTTAGAAGGATAAGAAGATACAAAAAGAATATCTAATGTGTCGGGGAACTAATAATGATATTAATAACGGTAATAATGATAAACATGAACATAAGCAGACTTCATATATTAAGATAAAGTGAAATAAAATAAGATAGATGTGAAAAGATTTAAAGGTTTTATTTTGCTTTCCAAGCAATTAAATGGATGATGGACTTTGTTTGTATAAATCATTATTGAATACATTGATATTCAATAAGTGACATAATCCACTTTCGGAAAGAAAATCATAAAGGAGACTTTTGAACCGGGTTGTAGTTTCACTGCAACGGAGGTTCACTGGCAGTCTGTTCCACATGGTTGAGTAGCGAATAAGGAAAAAATTCTGACGTAAGTTTGTGTGGGTCCTTGGAATCGCTAGAATATTCTCCTTATTGCGTAGATTGTGGGATGATATCATAAGGTATGAAGGGGTGGATACCGAGGAGTAGGAAATACCATTAATAAGCCGGTAGATAAAGGCAAGATTTAATTTGATACGTCTGATCCAAAGAGGTTCTAAGTTGAGTTGTTGACATCTTTGGTAATAGTCTTTGTTATCGGAATACCCCAGAACAGCTTTGGTGAACTTTCTTTGAACACCTTCAATTCTAATCAGGTCATTATGTCTACAATTACTGTAAACTAAAATACCATATTCAAGAATGGGTAAGATACATTTTCTGTATAGTAACAATCTCGATTCGATATTATTGAAGTTTATTATTATCAATCCGATGAGCTTTCTAGCTTTGGATACTTGAGATATAATGTGTTCAGAAAAGTTCAGACTATTGCTATAACTTAAACCCAGGTCACGAACAGTGTTGAGAGGTTTGAGTGTATGTGTCTGTACAGTCAGATTTAAGTTAAGACAGCGACCAATGTGAATAAATCCACTTTTGTCAACATTAAGTGGCATATTCCACGAAATATACCATTCGTACAACTTGTTTATTTCCTCTTGGATTACCGCTGAAATATAGCTTTCTTTCGTGGGAGAAGAGAATGAATAAAATACTTTCAGGTCATCAGCAAAAAGGAAAGGCTTACCATACTGAAAGAGGGAACAAACATCATTGATAAAAAGGAGAAAGAGTAATGGACCAACCACACTTCCTTGTATAACCCCACTGGTTACATTCACAGATTTAGAGTAGCAAGATCCAAAGCGAACGATTTGGCTACGTTCTTCTAAAAAAGATTTGAGCCAAGATAAAAGGGGATTCTGTATGCCAAATGAAAAGAGTTTTAAAAGAAGTTTGTGTGAGACACTGTCGAAAGCCTTACTAAAATCGAAGTAAAGAACTATCACTGACTGACCAACATCTCTTCTCTGGGTAATTTGATAAAAAACTCCAGGTGCGATGTGAAACATGAGCGTTTAGTCATAAACCCGTGTTGGGATAGGTTAATCAGACTAGTAGAAAGTAAAAATGATAGTAGCTGTTTGTGGATGATTTTTTCCATGGTTCTTGAGAGCACGGATGTCAAATTAATTGGCCTATAGTTAATAATATCACTATGTGGTCCTGTTTTGAATCTAGGGGTGATAAGGGATGTTTTCCATACAGATGGATAGGTCCCATATTCCATAGATAGACTGAAAAGTTTCAAACAAAATAGTGGAAATTCTCTACTTCCATATTTCACAAATGATGAAGGTATCCCGTCAGGTCCACCATCATAAGACTTTTTCAGGGCAGCTATGGCCTGCTTGATGTTGGAGGGTGTAAAATCAATTTTCGACAGATATCTGAATGTCAGTATTGGAAATCTTTTTGAAGAATGGGAGGAAATACTATGTTTCCGCACTTTAAATAGGAACGGATAAAACTGTTGATTATGTGGAAAATTCTTCCATCAAACTGACCAAAAATGAGATTCAACTTTACCAGTGCAAGCTTTGCTCAAAAAGCATTTTTGTCTCAGTCAGTGTAAGACTTCAAATCGCAGGGTACAAACACTCCTAGATCTTCTTCAACTTGGGACACCTCCGGAGGGATCATCTGAGAAGTGGTCCTAGTACTGAACATTGGGTGACCTAACTAGGATATCCCATAGCCTGAGAGAAAAAGTGAGGTTAACCCTGACCACAAAATGTCGAATTTTTAGATATGAAGTGAGCCAGTCAATTAGAGGTGAATTGATATACAATCGTTTGAGCTTATTGATAATATGTATATATGATTTACCCTATCAAAACCTTTTGAGAAGTCAAGGTAAATGACATCAACCTTCCCTTTCGATCAAAGATGGTTGTCCATCTGTCCACTGAAATCAGCGGGTTGGTTTTCCAAGAGTGACCTTTTCTGAAACTGTGTTGTTGGGCTGGGTTGGACATTTAGCAGTCTCATAGACCGCCACCTATCATGGATTCCATAGTTTTCGAGGGTATAGAGAGGAGTGCTACCGGTTTGTAGCTTGAGGGTTCGCTGCGTCGATCTCCATTAAAAACTAGTGTGATGTAAGCCAGCATCCACTTTTCTGGTAATGTGCCTCAGCTTAGCCAGTATGAGAAAATCACTCTGAGTAATGTTGCTAAGATTGGAGCTGATTCCCTCAGTATAGCGGAATGAGTCATATCCCTGCCAGGAGAAGTGTCACTGATTGGGTGCTGCAGCTTCCGACACACTAAGTCATAGCTCAGGTTCACTTCAGAGAGTTCTGTTAAGTTGCTGATGAATCACTCATGAATATGGTTAGTATGAGTCATTCCAAATGCTTGAAAGCACTGTCCTGCTAGAAGGTCGGTGGAGTCACCGTTGTTATTGGTTGAGCTACTAGAAGCTAGGACACCCCGGTTTTGGCTTGTCGAAGAGAGGCTGAGTTACGAAATAAGCTTTTCAGATCGGAGACAAGTTAATCTATTACCTATATTTGATATCGAAAGCTATAATCCTTTATTGTCTTCGTACATTCTTTCCTGCTTGTTTGAATTGCCTGTATGCGTTGTTGTCACTTCGTTTGTGGCTTAGCAACACGAAGGGTGAGATTCTTCATGACTGCAGGTTGCTTACAGTTTTGGGGGAACGTTTGTCGAGTAGACTACTTTGTAGCACAAAATATCGTGTGCAGTAAGAAATCCTAATGAGTGCCCACGTCAAGCTAAGTATGAACTGCCCAATACACTCGCGAAATTGACTTTAAGGGGGTTGAAGTTTCCTAGAATCAGGATGAGTCTGTTGGAGACGAGTAGAGCGTGATAATTCTTCCAGCATACGAATGTCAAACTAGATTTCATCAGTGGGCTTCTTGTAGACCACTTCAACTAGACACTTCGAGGTGTTAGATAATCTCACCGAACACCATACGAAGTCATCCGAATTGACAAACTCCTGATAGTACACTTGATA